CAGTGGAAGCTGAGAAGAGCAGAAGAGGAAGCCAAGCAAGAGATGCCAGAAAAAAGGGGGAAGGAAATAATGTGTTATTTTGCTGTTTGAGTATAGGCAGGCGCAGTGGGTAGCACAATCGCCTCACAGCAAGAAGGTCGCTGGTTCGAGCCTCGGCTGGGTCAGTTGGCATTTCTGTGTGGAGTTTGCATGTTCACCCCATGTTAGCGTGGGTTTCCTCCGGGTGCTCCCACAAGTCCAAAAATATGTGGTGACATTGGGTAAGGTAAAATTGTCCATAGTGTATGTGTGTGAATGAGTATGTATGGATGTTTCCCAGTGATGGGTTGCAGCTGGGTGGCAACACGGTGGCACAGTAGGTAGTGCTGTTTCCTCACATCAAGAAGGTTTCTGCATGGAGTTCTCCCTGCGTTCGCGTGGGTTCCCTCCGGGTGCTCCGGTTTCCCCCACAGTCCAAAGACATGCGGTACAGGTGAATTGGGTAGACTAAATTGTCCGTAGTGAATGCGTGTGAGTGAGTGTGTATGGATGTTTCCCAGAGATGGGTTGCAGCTGGAAGGGCATCCACTGCGTAAAACATATGCTGGATAAGATGGTGGTTTATTCCACTGTGGCGACCCCAGATTAACAAAAGGACAAAGCCGAAGAGAAAATGAATGAGTATAGGCAATGATAGACAAGACAATGTTTGATTAATATGAAGTCTTTTAAAATGCTTATTTATTAAAATAAAGGTTACAAAGTAAAGAAGAAATATATTGTGTGTTTGTATATTTATTTCACTGCCTTCAAGATTTTACATTGTAAACTAAAGGGAACAAGGGGGGAACAAATGTTGTATTTACCCTTTAACTACAGGTAACAAGAGAGGAACAAAGCTTCACTTTAATTTACAACCCTCAAATGTGGTATTTACCCTGTAAGTACAGGGAACAAGGAGGTAACAAGAGAGGAACAAAGCTTCACTTTAATTTACAACCCTCAAATGTGGTATTTACCCTGTAAGTACAGGGAACAAGGAGGTAACAAGAGAGGAACAAAGCTTCACTTTAATTTACAACCCTCAAATGTGGTATTTACCCTGTAAGTACAGGTAACAAGGAGGTAACAAGAGAGGAACAAAGCTTCACTTTAATTTACAACCCTCAAATGTGGTATTTACCCTGTAAGTACAGGGTACAAGGAGGTAACAAGAGAGGAACAAAGCTTCACTTTAATTTACAACCCTCAAATGTGGTATTTACCCTGTAAGTACAGGTAACAAGGAGGTAACAAGAGAGGAACAAAGCTTCACTTTAATTTACAACCCTCAAATGTGGGATTTACCCTGTAAGTACAGGTAACAAGGAGGTAACAAGAGAGGAACAAAGCTTCACTTTAATTTACAACCCTCAAATGTGGTATTTACCCTGTAAGTACAGGTAACAAGAGAGGAACAAAGCTTCACTTTAATTTACAACCCTCAAATGTGGTATTTACCCTGTAAGTACAGGGAACAAGGAGGGAACAAATACTGTATTTACCCTTTAACTACAGGGAACAAAGAGGGAAGAAGCTGAACTTTAACATACTAGTGTATACTTGAACACTAAGAACAGAGTAAACTACAGCAGCAGTTTTTATTGATTGAAGACCAAATTACTAGATTTTTCTATAAAGCATCAGCTATACATTTACTGAAATGCAACAGATAGCCCCCCTGTGCAACAGCAGTAAAGATGCGAGCCTGTTTTAATCTGCATTGAACCCTGACGGTAGGCCTATGTCATGCAAAGTTATTTGTTGATAGTGAGTTATGGAGACATTGATGGCTTTGGTGAGATCGACGAGAAAACATAAGGTAAGTAGTGTATGGAAATATATTTTATATTGAATTGCAGATTTAAAATACATACAGTATACAATAAGGGTTCATAATTTCACAGGTTGTAAACCTTTTATTCATTAAACACCCCATATAAAACCCAAGCACTGAATAAGAGTACTAATGTACTCACGCAGGTGCATATACAGTACATTTGCAGATAGCAATAGGTTGTCACCATCCTTGCATAATTCTTTATATGTATACAATACTTGAAGAAATGTACATCGTAAACTTAATATACTTCTTTGCGTGATGGATATCTTATTGTTACTCCCCTTTTACGCAAACATTATGGTTTGTTCTTTTGCAATTTAAAGAAAAGTACAACGTTATTTCACTGTACTTACGCGGTACCTTTTATGCTAAATATCTGGTTGTTATCCCCTTATTACCCGAGCATTACAGTTTGTTCCCTTATACTTACGTAAACGTTATTTATACTTACACTATAGGTACAGAAAAGTACACCGTTATTTCACTGTACTTACGCGGTCATTTTCGTGATGAACATCTGGTTGTTACCCCCTTTTTACCCAAGCATTACGGTTTGTTCCCTCATACCTACACATACGTTCATTATACTTACACAGTACGTACAGAAAAGTACACTGTAATTTCACTGTACTTACGCGGTACTTTGCGGGTTGTAAAAGAAAGCGTTACCAAAAAATGTCATTTTCATTCAACATAATTATTATCAGAGGGATAATTAATTTTCAATTCAACTTAATACATTAATCCTATAAACTAGATTAGGATTATTACACTATTATTTTCTAGGCATACCAAATGTATACATTTTTAACATTCATTTCTAACAGTTTGTATTCCTCTGTCTTCAGACAGTCTCCAGTAATATTCACCTATACTGTGTTTGTTTACTGTGTAAGATGATTTAGACAGAATTGTTGTATATCTGTATGCTGTTGGACGTTGGTTTTCCTTCTTTCTGAATTGGCTAAAACAACCATTTCAAATAAGAGACACACAAGCAGCTAGTCTATTAGCACAATTACAGTATATTACTATAGTCACCAAACATATCAAGAAATTGAAAGATTATACAATTAAATTCAAGCAAAATATTGCAAAAAATGACAACCTACAAAATTTTAACAAAACTTTTCCATTTTTGCTTCTCTTGTTTTTTCCTCTTTTTTTATTTGTATTTAATATTTTTCTATAACAGAAATTTGGGTGTACTAGCTTTGGACCATTACCGTTAGTTATTTTGTTAGATAAGATCCAGATTTGGCTTCGATACTGACTACTGATACTGAATGTATATGCACAAATGTAATATTTTATAGCTTCCTATTAAAAAATGAATTTAAAAGAGAGATTTGAGAGGGATGTACTTATGTACGCTGAGCACTTTAGATTAAAAAAATATGGTTAAAATGTTCTGTATTGGCTATTTGTTATTTTGCAGATTCAGCCATTAGAGTGTCTTCAATATTCAACAAGATTTCTTAGACTTTGTGGTTGAATTATTTATGTCTTATGTCAAATATGTAAATAATTGGTTTAAATTATTTGTTTATTAATTTCAATATTTTTTTCCCAGTGATGGGTTGCAGCTGGAAGGGCATCTGCTGTGTAAAACATATGCTGGATAAGTTGGCGGTTCATTTCGCTGGGGCGACCTCTGATTGACAAAGGGACTAAGCCAACAAGCAAATGAATGAATAAATGAATGAATTTCAATATCTTAATTGTTACACAATCAAATTCAGTTCATATATTTTTAAACAAAACAAAAAAATAAAAAAATAAACATTTTAATAAATAAACAAATTAATTTCAATACAGTCACTTCTAAGACTCACCATTAGCAAGAAATCCAGAACAAAATACACACATCAAAATACAGATTTTTAGAAAACATAAGCACCATGATTCTTCATTCAAGCAAATATTGCACAGAATTCAAACAGGAAATATTCACTTTATTTTTCTTTTTACCTGAGCAGTCCATTACTAAGAAATTTGTCTGTGAACGTTTTAGATAAAATGTACATGCATAAAAGTACTATACTAAAGTACAATTTTATTTTCCCGTGTTTCTATTTGAATTATGTACACATGAATACAAGTCTTTTAAAATCTTATTTGTATGTGTTGGTTTAAGCAGCTGTATATACATAATATATTGGCTCATGTAGCTCATCATCAGAGAAGAATAAGGGTTTGCTAAACTGAATTTACTGATCTGGCGACGCAGTGGCGCAGTAGGTAGTGGTGTCGCCTGCCTGCAAAAAGGTTGCTGGTTCAGGCCTCGGCTGGGTCAGTTGGCGTTTCTGTGTGGAATTTACCTATTCTCCCTGCGTTCACGTGGGTTTCCTCTGGGTGCTCCAAATTACCCCACAGTCCAAAGACATGCGGTACAGGTGAATTGGGTGGGCTAAATTATCCATAGTGTATGAGTGTGAACGAGTGTGTATGGATGTTTCCCAGAGATGGGTTGCGGCTGGAAGGGTGTAAAAACGTGCTGTATGAGTTGGCAGTTTATTCTGCTGTGGCGACCCCAGATTAATACAAGGACTAAAGCCGAAAAGAAAATGAATTAATTAATTTACTGATCTTGAGGGCTCTCTTCAGTTTCACACGATCCTGCATAAAATCATTCTAATATGCTTCATATTTGATGTGTAAGAAACATTTTATTGTATATTTATAAAAAAGTGTGTAAATATATTTTTTATTATTATTTTTCACTTATTTAAATGCCCTTCTGTGTTCATGTGTCGATATGTATGTATGTACCCTGAGGTCCTTGTGTGTTTGCGCACAATTGTTGAATAAAGCTCATTCTGATTTTGATTAACATTACAAATATTTTTACTCCCATTTTTAATCAATTTAATACATTCTTCCTGAATTCTAAATATTTTAATATTTTTATATATTTAAAAAAAAAATTTTCTAAATTTTTAGACTTTTGGTAAGTTGACTTTTTTTCTTAGCTTTTTCATTACAGGAAATACTGTGCTATATTTAACACAGTTGTGTGTCATAAAACCACACACAGGTTTCTCTCTGTAATGTATGTTGATCAGATTATACCCAGAGATTGTGTGTGTGCATGTGTGCGTGTGGCATCTGTGCTTCTCATGCAAATTAAACCCAAAGATCACATGGTTCATTAGTCTTTTATTATGTTACAATGGAAAAAAGAGCATGCTATTTTTTATTAAAAATATTTTGATCCTTACATTCAATAATAAACTCCATTCAATAATGAAAAAAAACAATATGGATAAAAAAGATGTAAAGTTTTGCTTAAAAAAAAGCTCACTGTACTTTAATAGCTGAGTAGATGACCCCCGCATTATTGTCCAACACCTGTAAATATTGAGACATAAAATTGGAATTGAACACTTAAATCAGAATGACATTCTGGCATATTTCTAACAAAAAGTGTTTCATTGCTGACCTCTGAACTTGCATGACATCTGTCAGCTCCTGGAAAAAAATATTACAGTCATATATTCAACATGGATTTCTCAACTGATAAAGTTTTTATTTGGTTTACCCTGATTAGATGCTGCTACTGTCACTGAAGCATAATGGATGTTGTTATCGTCGTCTTGTGATTTGTATCCTCTGCCTGGATCTACATCAACTGAAACATTACACTTGGTGTGAGCGAAAAAAAACAAAACAGGCTTTATATATGTAGCACACATGGTTTAAACATTTCCACACATGCAAGTTTAACAAAAATAATGCTACTTACTGGTTACTAGTAACACTATATATATATAGAATATTTATATAGAATAGAATAGAATAGAATAGAATAGAATAGAATAGAATAGAATAGAATAGAATAGAATAGAATAGAATTATTAGCCCCCCTGAATTATTGGCGCCCATTTATTTTTTCTCCAATTTCTGTTTAATGGAGGGAAGATTGTTTCAGCACATTTCTAAGCGTAATAGTTTTAAAAACCTATTTCTAATAACTGATTTATTGTATCTTTGCCATGATGACTGTAAATAATATTTTACTTGATATTTTTCAAGACACTTCTATACAGCTTAAAGTGACATTTAAAGGCTTAACTAGGTTAATAAGGTGAACTAGGCAGGTTAGGGTAATTAGGCAAGTTATTCTATAACGATGGTTTGTTCTGTACACTATCGAAAAAAAAATTGCTTAAAGGGGCTATAATAATTTTGTCCCAAAAATGGTTTTTGAAAAATTAAAAACTGTTTTTATTTTAACCGAAACAAAACAAATAAGACTTTCTCCAGAAGAAAAAAACATTATCAGACATACTGTGAAAATGTCCTTGCTCTGTTAAACATCATTTCCGAAATATTTAAAAAAGTAAGCAAAGAAATAAAAAATAAAATAAAAAGGGGGCTAATAATTCTGACTTTAACTATATATATATATATATATATATATATATATATATATTTATATATTACAACACTGCCTCACTTTTACTAGAACAATGCAGTTCTGTGGCATTACCAGTGTCGTTTGTTCAGAATGTGTTTCTTTATCTATTTGTCCACATTGACCTGCACTTTGTACTCCAAATTTAGTTTATTTCTAAAATCTCCAAAAAATGTTTTTAATCTTTTAAATAATAATTTTATTTTCAGAAAACATTTAAGTTTTTCTTTTATACATTTCTATTCAATCAGATAACATTTTAAGCTGTCATATGGTCATTTTATAATGTACCCTTTAGATGTTATACAGTGTGGCCCACCTAGAGGGATGTTTGCATTTCAATTCAGCTCATTTGTGGTTAAAAAAAATGTAAAAACAAACAAACAAATAAATAAATGTTTATATATTACTCTGTGAAAAAAGGTAAATAAAAAAGGGTACCAATATATTTAATTTCACATTTCATTGCAGCCAACAAAATTAGAAAAAATTGCCATAATGAACCATTTTCAACTTGCCGTCTATCTCTGAGATAAGCTTACCTGTGTTTTTTAGACATTTAAAGACTAGAAGAGACAGCAGAATCAGCACACTGACAGTAACAGCACACAATATGAGGATCACCATCTTCAAACCACTGTCCTCTGTGTCTACAATACAAACATGATGATAATTACACCAAAATTGACCAGTGTCATTTTTACACAGCAACAAACCACTGTATCAGTGTCTCACATTTAACATTTAGTCATTTAATCAAATGTTGAAAATATTCTTATACGTTAAAAAAAATACTGTATATTACTGTTATACCTTGGTTTGTTGCAGTTACATTATCTGTTGATCTTTGGTTTGATACAGTTATGATTTTTGTTGATATTGTTGGAGCAATGGTAGTTTCTGAGGTAAAGTTGATTATTATAGGTGCCAGGGCTCTGAGCTGATTCTCTGTAAAAACTGCACACTGCCAGTGCAGTGGCTCTGTTTTAAAGCTGGACAGATTCACTCTGAGTTGTAACTTGTTGTTTTTCTCAGTTATCCTGTTCTGCTTTTCCAGCACTCCCCGGTTTCTCTCCATCCTGAGCCAAACCAGCGTCACTGATTCAGTCACTTCAGAAAGCTCACAAGTGAGAAGCACAGACTGATTCCTCAACACACCACCAGGGGGCTCTACTGACACTGCACATAAAACAACGAGAAAAAGTAAAGTGTAGAATGCTTGATGAGGTCATTCATTCATTTTCTTGTCAGCTTAGTCCCTTTATTAATCCGGGGTCGCCGCAGCGGTATGAACCGCCAACTTATCCAGCAAGTTTTTACGCAGCGGATGCCCTTCCAGCCGCAACCCATCTCTGGGAAACATCCACACACACTCATACACTACAGACAATTTAGCCTACCCAATTCACCTGTACCACATGTCTTTGGACTGTGGGGGAAACCGGAGCACCCGGAGGAAACCCACACGAAGGCAGGGAGTACATGCAAACTCCACACAGAAATGCCAACTGAGCCAAGGTTCAAACTAGCGACCCAGCGACCTTCTTGCTGTGAGGCGACAGCACTACCAACTGCGCCACTGCAACAATTTTTTTTTAATTATAAAAATAACTAACATTTGTTAAATCATTTAAATGTGCTGTATACAATGTATGTTCTTTCATTCCAACATAAAAATGTTGACAAAAACATATATACCTCTGATGGTGTGTAGTATTGTGGTTGTGTAGTCAGTAGTTTCTGTAATGCACCTGTACGTGCCACTATAGTTGTAGAGAACAGGTGAGATGTGAAAGGTAAACGCTTGACTGTTGTATGCGGTCGAAGAAAATCTTCCTGGTTTAATTGGTCCTTTAACTTCAACTTTTCCTCCTTTTTCAACAGTCATTAGATCAATCTGTGAATTAGGCCTCTTCTCCCATGTCCACCTCCAGCTGTCATAGTTATTGCTGTTAGTCTTGCAGATCAGTGATACATCACGTTTGCTGGAGCTTTCTCTATAAATAGATTTATTTGTCTTAATGTTTCCATTATATGAATCTGTAAAGAAAAAAAAAGCAACTTGGTCAATTTTTGTACATAAATATTTGCTATTATTTTAATAATAAAAAAAATTATTTAATAATATATTATTTAAATAATATACTTAATAATCTAATATATTAAATAATATTATTCAAATAAATTACAGAATTATTATGGAAAATATGGGGGTGGAAACACAAAAACATGAAAGAATATTATTATTTAGGCATACTACAAAAAAAGAATATTTACGTGTTTTGACAGTAAGCATGTGATTTGTAATAGTTTGTATTTTTCCATCTTTATTCAGTCGGCAGTAATATTCGCCTGTATTGTGTTCATCTACTGTGTGTAAGATGATGTAGGCAGAGTTGTTGTATATCAGAGTCGTGTTGGATGTTGGTTTTCCTTCTTTTGTCCACTGCAGTGTTGAGGATTCAGACAGAAGGGAGACATCACAGCGCAAACACACATCAGAGCCAGGAGAGACTTTGGAGAAATTAAATAAAACCAACAATGAGAAATTGTATAAAACTTTATTACATTTAAAATGATGAAAAGTGATGTTGTTGTTTTTGTTATTTTTTGCTGCTGAAATGCAACTTAGCTTTATTTTGATCCAGAACACTTTGAACTGATGTAAATTCTTTATATGAAAAACAATTAGTTATAACAGTTCAACATCAAACCTTGCTGAACAAAATCCAAACACACCAAGTAAATTAGCTGAGGACTTTGCACAAATACATTTTGTATTCATCAGCCTTTTCTAAGCATTAGGATAAACAGACACATGCATGCGCGCGCATACACACACAAACACACACACATACACACAAATATTTTTTTTTTAATAAATAAATAAAATATTACAGTAAAAAGAAAAAACTTAATCAACCTTCATCTTTGGTCTTGACTGCTTGCCTTGGTGGATACACTGTATTGGATAAAAAAAACTATTAGATAGTACAGTATATTGAATTACTACAGCAACTGATGAAAGATTAAAATTGTTATTTTGGTGGTTGGTTTGGATTAATCAGTGACATTTACAGTACTAGCATGATTGGTATTTCCATATAAAATATTCATTTAAAAATAAATATTGCCGTAACCTGGCTAGATTTATGTACAGCAAATCAAAAATCTAATTAAAGCACGGAGCATTGTTAAAGTTAAATTTTCTGGTTTAGACAACTCAGATTATCCTGTAGCTAACCATACCTCAGTTTACAGACAGAATACACCCACTAATCAGTAAAATAATACAGGATTAAGAAAATAAATATTGTTTATTTAGAATCTGGTCAGTAACACTCACCTAGTTGAGAGCTGTAACAAAATCCACTTAAAAACATTAATATCAAAATTGTGAAGTACATGGTGTTTTCGGTCTTTTTTAGAAAGAGGAAGTGCAGAGAAAGAGGAAGTAAAAAATATATTTTCCTTTCTTCTTTATTTAAAAAGATGGACACAAGTGTGTTAGCTTTTCTTGAAAAGAGGAAACGTGTTTTGAAACAATGATGTGCAAATTTACAATTATATAATTTTTGAATGACTGCATCTACTGAAATATCTATTTATTACAAGTATATACTGTAATGTTTTTAAAAGGGATTAAGCCGAAAAGGAAATGAATGAATAAATGAATGCTTTTAATAATCAAGACAGATGTTAAACACAACATACAGTACTGACATTGTAGACTATTTGCTTAAGATAAGGTATTTATCAGCAGCATCATTTTATATTTGAAAACAGATTAACTGAAAATGGCACATAAAACATTTCACATAGCAAAGTTAAACTTAGATTAAGTAAGATCACAGTTATGTTTGTGTCTTTTAAATGTCTCATTGTGTTTTTTTCTTCACACTTGCAGGGCTAGAATTGCTTAGGGCTCCCAAATCACTAAATCCGCCCCTGTATGTACGGATTAAATGCATTTATTTATTTTAATTTATTCATTCATGTATCTAGACTTTTTTTTATCATATGGACGTTGTTTGGTCGATTTATTTTTATTAACATTGTACGAATGTATGATTCCTGGTTATTAATTTGGATCTATTTTTGTGTTATAAAGGGCTAAAAATGTGTAAATACTGCCCTCTGCTGGCTATGTTTCAACAAGAAAATAATAGGCTATGTTTTATTGCGCGACCTACTTGAAAAAAAAAGTTTTAACAATTTTTTACAACATATTATACTCAAGTGCATGAAGGTGTTTTCATTCTAAACAAACAGTTTGTTTTATATTAGTTTTATTTCACCATCATAAAAAACACAAGTAGCGTAAAAAACACAAGTAGCTTCCCACTTTAATTTCACAGACAGTGAATGAAAATAAAAACGTCAAACGAGACTATTTAAACTGAATTACAGTATGGTAGTAAAATAAAGTAAAATAATATACAATAAAAAAACATGTTTTGAACTCTCGCGACAACTGGTGAATGACACTGGGAAAAGTAAACATCAAATATGGCGACTAACTCTGCAAATCTTATTACAGTTCATATTTTGTTGTTTAATAACTTTGCCCAGTGGATGCCCGAGTCTCGTCAGAGAGCAGCGTTGATGAAGTGAACAGACAAATCTAAAGCACGATTCGCACGAACAACTACAACGTAAATGAGTCGACTCTTAAAACGCCTACTGTACTGTTATACCGCACGACAGAAGTAGTAGTAGTAGTATGGAGTAGTACAGTAGTATGCTATTCAGAATTATAGCTTAAGCCATTCTCGATTATGCCCAAAACGTTCCCACCCATTTGACATGAACTCGTATTCGTGTTTCGCGTCTTCAGTGTCCAGTAATAATTAACTCCTCTGCAGACGTGCAGAACTTTACTCTGAATGTTCGTCTAAAGACTTAACGTTAAAGAAAAATGACTGAACGAATGTTTGAAGAGAAACAACATGCCTCCCTCTATCAACAATATCGATTCGCACCACCGGATGAGCTGAAGGAGCTTATTCTTCAGTATCTGGACAAAAAGGTAAGATCAGCCGTGAGGTTTTGTTCGAGGTTTTGTGTGCACGACAGCTGAATCAGTACGTTTAGTAAGGCCCTTCCAAAATATGAATCGCCTACATTATATAGTTAAATAATCTACATGTTATGCATCTTGGTAAAAATAATAGGGCTAAACGTAATTTACATTAATAATTATAATAATTCTTGTGCTATTAATAATAAACATTCTTCGACCCATCCTAACGATGACATTAATTTAATAATTAACGTTAATTATTACAATTTTAAAGTTGCTTTAATTCTTGAAAAGAATGTGGTGTTTTTTGAAGGGATAGTTCACCTAAAAATAAAAAATTGACTTAAGTGCCCTCAAGCAAAGATTGATAGTTTTGCATATTTTAAATAGTTATTTATTATTATTATTATTATTTTGCTGTACATTTTCGCTTCATTAATGTTTTTTTTCTTACTGTAGTTTTCATTTCAGTAATTCTAGTTTAACAGAATTAAACGAGTTAATGGAACATTTTTACTTAAGTAATTTACATTTGATCTTTTAAATTGTCTCAAATATAATATTCATTGATTAAAACAATTTTCACAGAAAGGAAAGCCCCATCAGCTGGCTGTGGATTTAGGCTGCGGGACAGGGCAAACCTCTCGCCCTCTGACACCATACTTTCAGCAGGTGGTGGGCATTGATGTCAGTGAATCACAGGTGGAGGAGGCGAGAGCAGTGCAGGGCTTCCCTAATCTCACCTACAGGTCAGTAGTGCATGCTTCTACTCTTAAATAAATACAATTTAGTAGCCCTTGATATTTGGTAAAGGTAATTTACGTTAGTTGATTATAGATTAAAATACAAAAAGAATGCCTTTGCAACGATACGCTGTTGAACATCTAACTGTTGCCCATGCTAAAAAAATGAATCAACAAAAAATGACAGTGGTATGAAAACAACAAATAAGAAAGCATTTGATCATAGTTATTCGGAAATGTTTGCACAAGCTCTGCAATTCACCAACATCATGTGTAAACAATATTATTTTTATTTTAATTATAGTCTTCTGTTACAGTAGTTTAATTATCAAGGTACATACAGTCTTTGACACTGAGTAGTTTTCAACACTCCTTTGTGTTTTTAGCACCATGTGTTGTTGTTTATGCATAGCTGAAGGAAGGCTTATGTAAAGCTTATGAAATAGCATACTTTAATACTTATCTTGAAAATAGAAAACAAAATGTGATTGTGTATTATAGTGCGAACAGATTACTCTTGTCTACTCACTATTATATTTATTAATGGACAGAGTAGGCACAGCAGAGGAGCTTCCCTTCCCAGATGCTTCAGTGGATCTGCTGACAGCTGCGTCTGCTGCTCATTGGTTTGATGCTGAACGTTTCGTCAAGGAGGCCCAGCGTGTCCTGAAACCTCATGGATGCTTGGCTCTCTTTGGCTATAATGACAGTATGAAAATACACCATGAGTCCTGTGGAGATCAACTTAATATCATATATGAGGAAGTATGTATATGTAGATATATATAAATTAAATAAAAATATATACATGAACATGTTTAATAATGATTAAAAAATAAAACTGTTTAATATGTGAATACAAAACCTTCATATTACTGAATGCATGTCTATCTGATATGTGCTCAGAGTGGTTATAACTGCTATCTAACATTAATTTATTCTAATAGCTGAAGCAAGAACTTCAGCCCTACACAAGCACTAAGGTAACTGGGGCTAGTACTAAGCTAAAGGACCTGTTTGAAGTCATACCCTTTCCAGATAAAGAGAGGTAAACCAGTGCACAACACACTTGGTGAATAATTAATTTGGTGTCAATAAGCCTGTACAGAAATATGCTTGTCACATTTAATTTTCTATAGATTTATTTGAGTATGTGTTGTATTTAATCATTAACAAATTACATTTCACACATTTTGTTTTAACCCTTTAAGTTGCTGTCCAACAGACAGTTCCTATTCTATTGCTTATTTATTTATTCTTGGTCTAAACCTGAATTTATCTTAACAAACTACATATCACCTGCATCTATCAAATCTCATTTTCAAGTCTGGAGACAAAAAGTGGGTTGGCCATTAAATAATCTTTGATAAAAAATGAGTCTAATATTTTTAATTATATTCTATTGTGTCATTTAAGGATTGAAACTATTCCCATAAAGGAACAGCTGAGCGTCAAGAACATACTTGGCTTTTTTCAGACGTTTTCCATGTACCAAGCATATCTAAGAGCCAATCCAAAGGCTGCAACTGCACTGTTGGAGAAAACAGCATCACGGTAATTACATTTTCTTTTACTGGCATGCAACAGTGGTGGATTGCAACAAAAATATATATAACAAGTGTCTTCTTGAGAAGACGTTGGGTTAGGATCATGTGTATATTATACACAATATTGATCTGTTTATGACTTACTCTGTTACAGAATTCTGGAAGAGATAAAAGCAACTTCAACAGACGCTAAAGTTGACTTTATGTGGGAGTATTACTGTGTGCTTGCATGTAAACCTGAGTGATACATGATTCAAATCACATGATACACCTCTCTTTTACTGTAATTACAGGTGTTCAGCCACTGTGGTTAAGAATGTTTAATTTTGCTTTGTTAATCAAGTTAGCAAATTTGTGAGTGAACAAAGCCTGTATTTTTCATGATTTCACATTAAAAATTCAGATTAGAACCACTGAGTATTTGTACTATCTAATGTTCATTCAAAATCACTTACTGTACAGAATACTTACATTAATTGTAATGTAGGCTAAACAATAAAATCTGTTTTTCTTATTTTCTTCTGGTTGTGTTGTTTGTTCATATGAAGTTTTATTATTGTTCCTACACAAATGTTTACTCCTTCTACACAACCTGACGAAGGTTATTGTCGCCTATCCATGTTTTAGGAACAACAAAAAAAACTTAACTTCTGGTTGATCATTTGGTATCAGAAGCTTATATGAAAGGCAAAAACCTCTAGATTGTGCTTATTTTAACAAAATAAAATTTGATCATGGCTTGATTTTTAATTATTTAATTAAGAGAGTAAGGTCTGACTTTGCTTAGACAAAAGTCTTGTCACTTAACATAAAGGATGTACAGTATAGAACATAAAGTCATGGTAAAGTGAAAAAAGAATTAATATTGTGTATGACTCACATGAGCTTGGACGACTGCATCCATACATCTCTGCAATGACTCAATTAACTTATTAATTAGAGTCTTCTGAAATGGCTAAGAAAGCGTTCTTGCAGGACTCCAGAGTTCATCAAGATTCTTTAGATTCATCTTCAATGCCTCCTCCATCTTACCCCAGACATGCTTGATAATATTCAACTCTGGTGACTGTGCTGGCCAACCCTGGAGCACCCTGACCTTCTTTGCTTTCAGTAACTTTAATGTGGAGGCTGAAATATAAGAATGTGTGCTATCTTTCTCAGGAATTTGCCCTCTCCTGTGGTTTGTAATGTAATAGGCAACACAAATGTCTTGATATCTCAGGCTGCTGATGTTGCCATCCAGTCTGCAGATCTCTTGCACACCCCTATTCTGAATGTAACACCAAACCATTTTTCCTTCAAACTTGACTGATTTCTGTGAGCATCTTGGGTCCGTGCGGGTTCCAGTAGGTCTTCTGCAGTATTTGAACTGATGATTGGAACACAGTTCAAACAATTTGTTGGAAAAATCTACCTTCCACTTTTCCAAATGATCAAATAGAAGTCAAGTTATTATTTGTTGCTCTTACAACTGGGATCGACGACAAGACTTTTGTCAGGTTGTATAGGCTTTGTTAAAATGTGAATAAATACCTCATATCTATTTCTACAAAATTTAACATGATCAAACATTCAAATATGACTTTTTTATTACTGTTATATAAAAAAATGATTTATTTGTGAACATTGTACACCGATTTTGAATGCGTTAAGCAATATTAACATATCTGTTGTTTCTAAATTCTTATTTGTTGTTTTCTTAGCCTGCCTACTTTACTTTCACAGGAGATCTAACAATTAAAACTAAATGTAGGTGGCTATCAAAATGATTTTGGGGTAACCTGAGTATAAAGAACAAAAAAAAAAAATTCATTCGCTCATATCAATGTGAAAATTTTACTTTATCCTCCCAGCAGGCATCTGGTTTGCATGGAAACCTTTAATCTTTTTCCAGTTATTTCTCGGGAGAAGTTGATTAAATCTGAAAGGACTTTTACTCTTGTCCTCCACTGTGAATATGAGGGGAAAAGTGGGTGTATGTGGGTGTATGTGAGGCACAAGTCCTCATTAGCAAACTGAGCATGTTACTTTTGCCTCAAAGGAATGTTTTAAACAGCTTTGCACAAATGTCTCTGAATGAGGAAAAAAATAAGCAAAGCCTAAAACTTGAAATGGCTCCTCCCCTCGTGTCCTACTTTCCTTGTCCTTTTGTGTGCTGACAGCTCAGTTCCCTTCAGTTTTCTCACTCAAAGGAGACTGTACATCTGTCCAAAATGGCTGTGCGATTATTTGAAGGCAAAGAACATGCAAACTCATACTGGAAGTATCGCATTTCTCCTTCAGAAGAGCTCATTGGCAAAGTTCTGCAATTTCACAGGAATAATGTAAGATTTTTGTAATGACTGTTTTTTTTTCATTAATTTATGATCCATTCAATGTTATTTAGCTTACATTTGAAGCACTGCTTTATCTTCTTCTTTATCTCCAGGAATATTCATCTAATGGCCTGGCAGTAGATGTTGGCTGCGGCTCAGGACAGGGAACGTTGCTCTTGGCACCACATTTTACACGTGTGGTTGGGACAGATATTAGTCCAGCTCAGCTGGAAATGGGAAGGAAACATGTTAACATTCCAAACGTTTCTTTCAGGTATGCAAACATGAAGTAGTTGATTATTGCTGTAATCTCTTGTTGCCGTTTACTGCCAGACGTCCATGAAGAAAAAAACAAAACAGTGCGATCGCCCCCTGGTGCTTGGCTACAGTAAATGTCGTAAACTCTGAACTCATAAATTGGAACGTGAGCCCAAAGATTAAATGTTGTACATATTTCACATCTATCTTATACCGACATAAGTTTGCCTTAGTTTTAATTATGCCCTTTAATATTGCTCCAGTTTATGAACATTATTTGTCATTTTCTTTATAATGTACTGTGGTTGTATATTTTCACTTTTCACATAATAATAATGATTAAAAAACTTACCTTAGTAAAGAAAAAGTAAGCAGATAGTAGTCTATATGATTTACCTTATTAGTCAGACCATACATGATCATTTTCACAGAAAACTTTTCTTTTAAACAATTTGGCTACAGCTTGACTAAAGGAGTGACGAGTGTTAATCTGAGACTCATAAACTACGTTCAGGGTCTGTTCATGATGGATTATGTACCATGTTTTGTAAAAATAGATCTTACCTATTTTTATCCCTGCAAATGTATCATATCAAGTAGACAAATTAATTTGAAATTGTTGTTGTTTATTTAAATGCATTTCATGCATTTATTCTTTTAGCAGATATAGACTATTTTTATAAAATATTTATTTAACCAATATGCATGTCCAGCCTCCAGCGTGTATTTCATCAAGTTCAAATGTTTCATATTTTACTCAAAAATATTCACATTTTTGCATTTTTTATGTATGCAACTTTTCAGGTAGTTTGTATTTGTACATTTTTATGTAGGTTGTATATGCATTTTATTTTAAATCATTTGAATATTTATGTAACAAAACATTAAAATAATAGTTGTAATGTATATGTAGTTATATTTATTTATGTGTTGCTTGAATCTTTTATTTAAAAAAAAATATTTATTTACAGCAATAAGAGTAATTTTATCAAACAACTCTGGCACTTTTTGTCAAAAGTTAAACATTAGATGTCTTAACAATTGCAACATAGAAATATTTAAATTGTTGTATTTATTTATTTAGTGGTAATATATTTATTTAATGCATGACGATAGTGCTGGTTTGTTTAAGTTAGTTTCACCTATATACTATGCATGCTACTGTTTTCACTTATTTGACTCAAAGGGAGAGTCCAGCTGAAGAACTGCCCTTTGAAGATGGCTCTGTAGATCTTGTGACGGCCATGTCTGCGTTCCACTGGTTTGACCATTCACGTTTTCTTCAGGAGGCCGACAGAGTGCTCAAACCTCATGGCTGCCTCGCACTTCTCAACTACACACTGGACATGGAGCTAACTTATGGAAACTGTTCAGAAGCATTAAACCTCATTTGTAATGAGGTGAGAGTCATATATTTCTCACAATGATTGCCAACTGTCTGAACATTTGTCTGTGCAACAATGAGAACGTTTTGAAATCATCTTATATAGCTCACATGACCTGTACTTTATGAGCGACTGAAATGTTATCTAATCTTTTATTAGATTATACTAATTAATCATTTGCTCAACAAGCATTTTATAAGACACATAGTTCAAAGATCACAATAACATTTTATGCATGCAGGTGTTTCTAGCTTCACGAAGCAAATAATAATTTACCTGGACTCTCAACACAGTAATAACCAATTCAGTATGAGTCAGTGCTTTCAAAATGAAGAATAAAACATGCTGTCTGAGCTACGGATTTATTCTGGTGCCTTGAATCATTGTCATGCTTTGTGACTCATGGGTGCCCTAATGTGCATCTCCTGCTTCAACCTGCAATTCACTTGTAAGAAAAAACAGTGATCCATGCTACATGCTGTACTGTATATGATTCACCGTGTACTTATGTTGTATTTGTCACATTGCAGTTTTATGCAGCTCTGCATCCTTTACGGGATCCTCATCTGGGTCCCAGCTCTTTTGAACTGTACAAAAGAACATATGACTCTCTGCAGTACCCAGTCAAAGAATGGTAATGTATTATAACAACATATTAACTTTGCAGTTAGTAGGTGAAGATGGTTTAAAGTGCAGTTAGGTTTGTTAAACTATAAAGTAGAAGCAGTGTTGTGATGTTATGATATTTAAAAGGTTGCTTGTTGGACCTTTAGTGTCTTATTTGCTTTATCAAATGGATGTCACAAAATAGAAATATTACAGATGAAATTTTTTTCATTTAAATATAATGAAGCCAAAAATATATATGTTAGATTAGTTGTAGACTGTTAGAAAAGTAAAATTAAGTGTCGTCGAACATTAAGCAGATAGTCTCCCGACAATCAAATGACAGTTAGTTGACATGGAGTTGACATGGATGATCTAAAGAGGACCATCAAAAGTGCTACCAAAAATTTCAGTGCTGTTACTTTACTGTGAATAATAATATGGCTAGAATGTTTTAACAAAAAGTTGAAGCTAGACTTAAACAATTCTTGTCTCCAGGCATGATCTTTTTTGGGTGAAGAAGGCAGTCCCTCTCTCTGGCTACATTGGCATGGTGAAGTCTTTCTCCACATTTCAGACACTCCTAAAAACAGATCCAGAAGAGGCCAGACGGCTCTCGCAGGGCATTGAAGATAGGTATTAGAGTCTTTCCACAGCTCTTTATTTTTTGGTTTCTGTAATAAATTATATGTGTGTTTTACACAATCTCTCTCTTTTTTATTTCCTCAAACTTTCTTTTTCCTGTAAAGACTGAAGCGTGCGATGGACGTGACATCCTCAGAGACAGAAGTTATCATGGGAGTTAAATACTTTTATTTTCTGGCACAAAAGCCTGCAAATGATTGATGCCTCATTTACTGTAGATGACCAGACCTTAGTATTAATCATACAATAATTCCTGATGTGATTGACTCACTAATTTCCATAACATTACGTTTTGTAACCTTCAAATTAAAGCAATAAATTATCTTCAGCAAGTACTGCAATTGTTTTGTTATGCTAGCATCTGTAAAAAAAAAATTAATCTTGTGTGTTACGACTAACTGTTTATTCTTCGCACACACCACACATTGAATTCTAATCATCATCTTTGAAAATTCACATTCACAACACTTTCTTTATAGGTTTATAATTGTAGTTCTAGTTTTATTAAAAAGCTAGATTTTAAAACTGATTTTGAATGAATCAATAGACCCAGATAAAATGGTCCTTGTCACTACCCTTAAGCAATCATTTGAAATCGTTTTGTATTTAAAGGATCATCCAGCAGGGTGCAGTGTTGTCTTGGTCATGGAGCTGAGTGTGAGAATGAATATAGGCATGTCTGCGGCTGAAAATTAACGAAATTTGCTTATTTTGTTTATTAAATTACCTTATAGGCTACTTAATACATTTTGTTTAGTTGATTTATAAGCCTACCTCTCACATTAATTAAAAATTAGTAATAATTTGCCCAATAATTTGCCCAATAGCCGCAGATGTAGACCCATCCCTGCTTCTGACATTACCCAACGTCGTTCATCGGTACTTCTGCTCACGGTGACGCCAACTACAATTCCACGGTGCAGTAATTAAACACAGTATCAATACACACACACACACACACACACACAAAGATGAAATAATTTATTTTTTATTACACTCCAAAATACGTCTCACAACTTTCCTGAAACATTTGATTAAACCACCTAACCCACATAGCTAATTTTCTTGATATAGACAGGTCTTTTGTGTTAAATAATGATTCTTGAGTCTGGTGAACCAGAATCTACAACACAGCGTCAACGTCTAGTGGTTTGTCATATTCTATGTCTCGGGAACTAGTTACAGGGATGCACAAATAGCCGGGTGAATGGATTACAGGATGTGTGTGTGTGCATGTGCGTGTGTTCATATCTCTTACCTAGAGGAGTAATTCACAGACCTATCACATGGCAGCACATGATACAGTGAATGTAAGAGAATATAGTGCCAATGCATGTGAGGAAGTTGAAAGGTTATACTGCACAGGTTAGTGAATGGATTCTTCTATTATACAAGCTCTACTCATTTACCAAATGTTCCCAATAAACAGCACACCACTTGTTACAAAACTGATTGAATGCACAACATTCTTGAATGCGTTATAGTAAATGGTAATTTGTGCTATTGGCTAAATATGGAGGCCTATTAACTTCAATATCAATATCTTTAAAAGGATGGTTCACCTTAAAAATCAAAACATGGAAGATATTGTTCACTCCTGGTGTTGTTCTAATGCTAAATGAACTTCTGTCTTGTTTGTATTCAGCACCCAAAATATAGTGAATAGCAACAAACTTTTAAACTCAAAAAGTATTGCAGATATTTTTACCACCTGTTTAGAGAGTATACGAATAAGGTTTGTTGTAAAACAAACTGAAATGTAATGCATTGTTTTACAAAACTTCCAACACTGACCTTTAGAGCCTTACACATTCACCCATAAACATCACATAGATTTGGGAAATCGAGATAAAAGAAGTGTGAAACTTAATATTCGTATAACCTACTTTCTTCTTTGAGGCAAATTTAACTTATCTTTCATCTTTTACTTTTGTCTGACATTGTTCCAATCTGGAGATATTCAAGAGAAGGAAATGCAACGATACTTTTTAAAGGGTTACATGGCATTGTGTTTCATGTTCAAAATGGTGCACTTGTGTGTTTTTCTGGAAAAGTTGGTGTGACCTATATGGCATTAATGGTTTAATACATATTAGTCCTCCAACATAATGTGTTCCACACCAGTCAACATTTTTGGTGCTGATAAAGTTTAGATGACTTGACAACTGAAATAACATAATTTAACTATCATTAGGTTTAAAAACTATTTTCTAGATTTTTCTAATTGTTTTTGTCTGTGGTATGTCAAAGTTTGTCCATACAGATTTGGTACTACAGTAAACCCGAAATGTTTTTCTAAAACACGTACAATTAATATACAAATACAATTAATTGAACATGTACACATAATGTAGACATCTCTTCTGTATAACTATAGGTTAAAATAACTAACTGTTAAAAGCTATTAGTTAGCCAGTTATTTAAAGTTATTAGTAAATAATAAAGTTATAACTTATAACCTTACGAATTTGATTGTAATGCAGTAATGTGCACCTTATACGTAAAGCTACTTTGAAACAATGATTATTGTGAAAAGCACTATATAAATAAACTTGAATTGAATTAAAATCGGGGCATCTTGATCACCTCACCGAAAGAATGTTGCTTCTTTGAGCCTTGGCTGAATTAGTTGACATTTCTGTGTGGAGTTTGCATGTTCCCCTCGTGTTTGCGTGGGTTTCTTACGGGTTCTCCGGTTTCCCCCCAAGTCCAAAGACATGCGGTATAAGTGAGTTGGGTATGCTAAATTGTCTTTAGTGTACAGTATTTGTGTGAGGGCATCCGCTGCATAAAACGTGCTGGATAAATTGGCGGTTCATTCCGTTGTGGCGACCCCAGATTATAAGGGACTAAGCCGAAAAGAAAATGATAGAATGAATAAATTTAAAACTCTGGCTCTGTAAGAGGTCATTTTTCAACATACAAAGAAAAACAATTCTCAAATTCTGCCTTCACATGAGTCAAGTACAGAATATTAAAAATACTCTTGAAAGTTTTGCAAAATAAACACTTGATTGTTTTACACACATCCACCCACTTCAAGCTAAAGCATTCGTGAACACTGTGACAGTTTGCACACCACATTTTAATCCATTGCAAAATATTTTTTCTCCTGACTGAGCTGATGGGGCTGAGTTGTTGAGAGGGGTTGTGGTGAATCATCTGCCCCTTCACATTCACGGGGTCTGAGTCCTGGATTCACCTCCGCTGTAGCTTTCATATCGCTAAGACAATGGATTAATAACATCTTTGCAACACTAAAATTGCTATGAACAATTCTAAATATATAATTTTAAAAGGAAAAACAGACATTTATTATCCAAGAGCATTTGGCTCCATTTTAGTTATTGAACATGGCTTTTTAATATGGTGGGACTCAGTATGAAAAATTATGCTTGTCTCATAAGTGTTGCCTATAAAGCACACATCTTTTAATAAAGCTAGTGCAACTATTTTGTTCAAATAAGCTCATTAGATTTAGATTTTAATGGTTTTTCAAATGGTTATACTTTTTTGAGCGAACAATTGTAGAACAAACTTTAAAGGTTTTGGCTGGGCCTTGATTTAACCCTGCAGGTTTTTTTTTTTTTTTTTTTTTTTTTTTGCATTTTTTATTTATTTATTTATTTATTTATTTGGCATTTTTTATAAAAACATCCTCACAACAATTAAAAAGAATATTTGAATTTAAAAAGAATGCATCTATTAATTCCTGGCTATTAAATATAAAGCAGTAATGGCCAATATATTTATATCTGTATATTCCTAGATTCATATTGTGGACAGGCAAAAATAAAAATGAATACATTTAAAGCTGTACATTTATTAGCATTTTACATATATTGTAAATCCATTCATCAGAATATGCTTAAAATGGCCTAATGATTAAGTGATTAATTAACTTCATACTGTGGGCTTATTTACTTGCATATGTAGTGTGCATCATAAATAAGACATATATTGAATTTGGTCTTACACATTAAGTCATAGATAAATACATTAAGGAACGAAGCCTTGCTGGAGGTCTTTAAATGTACAGTTAACATGACTCTATTTTTCTTAGTTTTAAAAGCATTTAAAAAGTACCTTTTTTTCCACTGAAAGAACCATTACAAGAGTTCACACTCAGCTGATGATTGATAATAAAGCTTGTTTGGCATGCTGTCCCAGAAGAGAGCGCTGAGATTAGAAGATCCTTGAGCCCTGGGCTCCCTCCCGTTAGCATTTGAGCTTATGTACCTCTTGTTGAACTCTCCTAATTAATTTTTGGCTAATGACAGATATAGGAATGGCTAAGGAGAGATATACTGCTTTCTAAGAGCTTGACTATGATGCCAATTTGGTATGTTCAGTTTACTTAGGTTACATGTTTTTTGAACTGCGGGAGAAATGAGCACTGGGAAAAAGAGCAAACTCAGAAATGTTGACTGGTATAGTAGGGACTGTAAATAGAGACATTCTTGCTGTGAGGCAACCGTGCTAATCACTGGGCCACCTTGTCACACATCTATAAAGGAGGGGAAGATTAAGATGAAGATATTGAGATAAGAAACTCTGATTATTTAGTGAGTTAGGAATCAACTGATTGGTGAATCAATTGTACGCTAATGCAGGACCAGCCGTGGACAATCATAATCACATGATCCTCGTAAAATTACTTTATAAATAAACTTCACTTGTGGAATGAAAATGTTGCAATTAAATACTTGCAGCCACATATGCTAATTAAGTGCAGTCATGTGAATAAAAGACTATACTTGAAATTATCTTCTAAATTAGTAGTTCTAATTCCAAACTATGATAACTATAATAATTTCAAACTTGTATTATAATCAGTTTTGTTCTTGGAAAATGAAATAATATTGCAGAATGTACCAGACCCTTTCTTATTACACGAATTCAAACTTAAAAGGGAAACCAAGACTTTCAGGTTTCGAATTGAACAATTCAATTTTAGATTTTTCTTGCCCCAGTTAGTTCTTATGATAATACATGTAAAAATATACATGTCCATATTGTTTAGAAAGAACACTTATTGAGCTGATTTGCAAGAGAAAACAGTTTTACTGAGTGACTGGTTCAGAGTTTTGCCTCATCAGCCTCAGGACAAATGTGAAACTATTACATCAGTCACAACAAAGACAGCACATTATTTCTTACAAAAAAAAAAATCTTTGTCCTGGGGATAAAGCATTTCAGAGTTACGATCTGTTCAGAAGTCATCTAAACATGTTTATTTATGAAGTACATCTAAAATAAATCTGATTGGCTGCAAGTTTTAAAACAGCTATGATGAAGCATGCATAATTAAT